CCGGAGAAAACTCGTCTCTAGCCGTCAGCCTGTAGGGTTGCCATACAGTTTTACTTTCTTTGTTTACTGTTTCGCCAATTGGCGGTTTTCTCTAGAGTTTTTGAGTTTGTATCGACTGTTTGGCACTGCTACTGCATACTCCCTCTGCAGTGTCAACGAAATGCGACATACCAATGGGGGCGTCGGCTTAATCGTCCAGAACGGGTGGTACAAAGGCTTTTCCACACTCTGGGAAACAACTTGAGAAGAGTCCATGGTTTCCGTCTGTGTATGGAGATCGTGTGCTTAATCCATTTTATTTCAAGATTGATAGTTTTATCGCGTCTTTCTAGCACTTTATATGGTCCATCATAAGGAGCTTGGAGTGGCTTTCTAACTTTGTTATATTGAACAAACACATGCGTGGATTTGGGAGGTCGTTGATGAATGAAACAGGTTCGCTGGCTGTGGCTGGAAGTCGTGGTCGGGTGGACACTGGCAAAGTGGGATTTTAAATCCTTCATAAACTGTTTAGGGGATGCATCCATAGGTGTCGGATCGAAAAATTATCCTGGGAGACATATAGTCTTGCCGTATACAAGTTCAGAAGTGGTTGCTCATATGTCTTCCTTGAGAGCGGGGCGGAAACCCATCAGGAGCATTGGAAGGGCTGCCACCCAGTGACTGGTATTATACGATTTTAAGGCAGCTTTTAATGGACGGTGAAATTTGTTTAGAAGTCTATTTGCCTGTGGGTGGTACGGTGAGGTCCTGATCATCTTGCTTCCCAACAACTGGGAAAGGGCTCGAAATAAGCCGCTTTCAAACTGTCACCCTTGGTCAGTAGTAATAACAGCCGACAACCAAATCCAGTAATCCATTGGTCATAGGTACCCTGCGCTACTGTGCATGCAGTTATGTCTGGTATGGGTACTGCTTCCGGCCATCTAGTAAACCTATCAATCATAGTTAGACAGTAATAATTATTGTGAGAAGGAGGTAATGGACCAACGAGGTCAAGGGGAATGTGATCAAATCTCTGTGATTGGTCTGGAAACTTTATTAACAAGGTTCTAGTATGTCTGCTTACTTTTGCTTTCTGGTGATGGAATGCTCAGTTTGCACAATTATTACAGATAGAAGACCAAACAAAACGAATGTCGGGGAGAGACAAATTATGCAATGTGGCAAAAACTTTCTCACAGAATGCTGGGGGAATGTGAGGGCGGGCGGTACCTGTTGACAAATTGCAATATAAGTAAGCTACAATTCGGTAAAGTAACTTTTCTGAGTTGTAAAACTTTTAAGTCTTAAAATTTGTAATTCTGCATCGATTTGTTACATTTTAGCAATTTCCTCACAGTTGATAGGGGTAAGCATGCTTATCACTTCTTTGTGCGAAAGTGCGTCCACAGTTTCTGTGAACCATTTATATGGTGAATTTCATTGGTGAATTGTGAGATAAAGTCTAACTGCCTAGCCTGAAGAGGTGAACTCTTATCCAAGCGCTGTCAAAATGCATACGTAAGTGGTTTGTGATTGGTGATTAAAGAAACATTCCGTGCTTCCAACATATGCTTAAAATGCCTTACAGCAGCATAAGCTGCCAATAGCTCCCGATCATCCATATTATAATTCCTTTCTACTTGCGAACGTTTTCATGAGAAAAAGGTGAGAGGCTGTAAATTTCCATCAACCATTTGTGATAGCATTCAGCCGATAGCGAAGTCTGACGCTCGACCTCTAAAACCAACTGTGCATCTTTTTCGGGTGTGCTAAAAGAACCGTATTCGCGATTAACTGTTTACACTTTTGAAATTCATTCCTTGCTTCCTCAGACAAATTCAGGGTTGACTTATCATTTTTCTTAGCCCCTTTTAAATGCAAAGTTAAATTTATTTGATTCTGGGCCACGTTGGCTAAAAATCAACGATAAAATTTCAAAAATCCTAAAGATCTCTGCATATCTTTTCCCATTTTAGAAAGTGGGTATTTAAGTATCGGTTCAACTTTTTTTGGCAGAGGCTTGGTACCGTTTTTATTAATTAAATATCCTAAGAAAGATATTTCGGGAATGCCAAAAATGCGTTTTGAAGCGTTAATTTTCAATCCATATGAAGTTAATCTTTCAAAAACAGTACATAAGTAAGATTTCTGATCATCTTCTGTATCACTAAATATCAAAATATCCTCTAAGTAGATATAGGCAAATTTTATGTCTCAAAGAATTTCGTTCATAAACCTTTGAAAGGTTGGAGCTGCTCCGAACAGTCCAGAATTAAAAACGGAAATTTAAAAAGACCAAATGGGGTGCGAACTGCAGTTTTCGATATATATGGTCTGGGTGAACTGGTACATGATATGCCCGAACCATATTGATTTTCGAAAAAATTTTCTTTACGTCAAGTGTATTATTAAAGTCTTGTAAATGCATATAGGATATCTGTCGGGTTCAGTGCACGCGTTTAATTTTCAGTAGTCTCCTACTGGCCATGTGTCACCCAAGCTTTTAGAAACGACATGAAGCAGTGATGACTATGCTAATTTTGATGGTCTACAAATACCTTGATCCATCATAAATTGGAATTCTTTTTTTACTTCTTCATAGAACTTAGGGCTTTACCTGCATGGTTTATTATACACAGGAGGATCGTTTGTTTCGGTGTAATGAACCGTACTATGCTTTACTGTGCCCAAATCAGGTTTTAACTTCAATAAATCCAGAGAGTCTTTCAAGATTCTGTGATACGGTGAATCACCCGATATTAGCTTTACTGAAAAATAATTTTTAGAATCGTAAAGAGAACCAATTCGAGTTAATTTTGTAGTATTACCAATGAGCCTACCTCGTTTTAAATCGATTAAAAGATCAAAATGTATTAGGCTCATATTATAGGCACTGGTACATCCGTGATTAAAAACTTCAAAGAAAAGTTTCGTCTTTGTCCTAAATTCATATTTAACAATTTTATTCCATATGTAGAATTCGAATGGAATTATTCGTGGCAAATAATTATAGCCAATCAGGATGCATTTTCTTAAATTTAGAACTCAGCACTCATAAAACATCTGAGCCCGAATCGATAACAAATTTTTAATTTAATCTGTTATCGTAAACATGAATGCGACTGCCGATGAGTTCCAGCTTGCCAACAAGGTACTCAACATTTTCATGCATTATTCCCAAATTGCAAATGAAAATAACAGTAACTGTTAACACGCTCGCGAGAATGCCCACGTGGAAAACTTCATGGACACTTATGTGGATCCCGGGGAAATGTATTTCTCATTTTTTCACGTGAGTGTCACTCAACTTGTATACTTAGAGTAGCTATTTCACTCCTTAAAGCCTTAAGCTCCCCGAGGGGGTGAAAGAATCGTTCCGATTGCTGGGGATACTTGCCGAAGCTGCCTGGACAGCAAACACATTCTTGTTCATCGGCGTGTGCACTTCAGATACCTTATCAGCCATTTTTGCTAAATTATCCAAGGATTCAGAACTAATTGGTAAAATGGCATGCACCTCAGAAGGTAACCTTTGCAGCCATAATGATTTAAAAAATTTGTCAGTTATACATTTTTCTCAATAAGTGAGGAATTTCCTTAATTCTTTCATTTTTCTCAATAAAGGAGATGGTTTGTCATCCCCCTAAATGCAGTTCAGAAATAAGCCTGTGTATTTGCTCGTTTTCCGAATCCAAGAATTCCACTATTAACCTAGCTTTTAGTGAAGTATATATTTTGTCGTGTAGGGATTAAATAAAATATCTGATACCGCGGAAAGAGTTTTGGGGATCTATGGAAGAAATCACGTGGTTATATTTTGTAATATCGTTACTAATCTTTGCTAGAGCAAAATTACTTTCAACTTGAATAAACCAAAGTTTAACATTATTTTTGCATAATGGGGGAATTTTAACCGCCACATGTGAGATTTTTGGCTCCTGAGCTGCCACGTTAGATTTGTCATTGGTTTGGCCTTCCAGTCCTGGCATGGTTAACAAATATAAATATATCATAACTTAATGTTACATACTTATAAATATATCATAAATCGTTAACTTAATGTTTTGCACTTTAAAACTTGTGTATCATATCAGAATAGTCATTCAATATCTCAATAAAATTGCGAGCACATATATACACAAAGATCAGTTTTAAACAATAAATAATCAAGTTTAAATCAAACTATAATTTTATAGCAAAACACATCACAAAAATATATTAATATCAATCACAGATAGGAAAAAAAATTTGACCACATACGTGTAACTCTTTCTTAATAGTGTGATAAACCATGTGTAATCCGTACAATAAAATGAGAAGGAAATTAAAGGAAATAAATAGGATGTAGCATTTATCACTCATAAAAAAGAGCACTCTCATCAGAATAAGACATGTTTTTAGCTTTATAACAAAGATTGAGACAGATAGCATATAGGAATCTGAAATAGAAGGAGCGAGAGACAGGGTCACCAGTGAGTAACACATGCCTACAAAAGTATTGATAACATTACCTAGAAAAACAGCAATCGTAATTGAGATAGGCATATACCATTAATAATGATATTTAATAAGGAAAAGTAACATAGTACATTATATTGTCTTAAGAAAGAGCACGGTCCCAACACAGACAATGCATGTTGGACAACACAGACAATGGTCCCAACACAGACAATGCAAAGTTTACGTATCCGGTGAAGGCACAAGACTGAAGTAGTTATACAGACTAACACAGACTACATTGCTGGAGAAAACTCATCTCTCCCCGTAAGCCTGTAGGGTTGCCATACAGTTTTACTTTCTTTGTTTATTATTTCACCAACTGACGGTTTTCTCTAGAGTTTTTTGAGTTTGTATCGCCTGTCTGGTGCTGCCGCTGCAGGTATATGTATAAAGTGATTTCATATAATATTTTTGAAATTTCTTCCGATTTTATATATATATTTCACTTTATTCTATATAGATATATAAAATAAAAGTGATTTATTTAATATTTTTGAAATTTTTGATTTTTTCAGATACCATCTGGCCGATTGTTTCATGCTGCTGCTGTTATAGGAGATGCCATGTATATATTTGGGGGAACTATTGATAACAATGTGCGCAGTGGTGAAATTTATAGATTTCAGTTTTCATGCTATCCTAAGTGTACTCTGCATGAAGATTTTGGCAGACTTTTGGAAAGTCAGCAATTTTGTGATGTTGAATTTCTTGTTGGGATGGTCAGTGTTACTTAAAATTTAATTACATCACTTTAAATTTTTAATAAATTAAAATGAATTTTATTATCAGTGTAAATGTTTTGAATATTTTTTTTTTGAAGGATCAACATTAAACTTATATTAAACTGTTACATTTTATGGACTAGTAACAGTGACTTTAAGAGTGTGAAACAAAAGTTGACATTTTATTTCTTTTATTTGAAAATTTCAATTTAGACATCTTTTATAAAATTGTTATGATATCTTTTATAAAGTCTTTAATAAAATTGTTATAATGGATACATCTAATTTTGCATATGTTATGTTTGACATATGCAAAGTTAGATGTATCCATTCCAATATATATATACACCTTCAAAATGACTAGTATAAATGTAACTGAATTATAAACTATGTTATATGTCTAAATTTCAAAGAATGAATGATGAAATACTTCAGAGAAAATAATATAACAAGCAATTTCTGTTTGAAATTTAAATAGAATAAACTCAGCAAATGTGAAGATGAAATTTATGGCTTTCCATTTTTAATTATTAGACATAATTATGAAGCTATAAAATGTGTGACGTTGCTTTTTAAAAATGTATTCATTGAATTTTATCATTCAATAAATTAATGTTAAATAGTCATTCAATTTTTTTTTTATTTACAGCATCAAAACTTTTTAAATTTTGTATTTATAAATTGTTAAATACTTTGAAAAGAATTTAATTACATGAATTCTTTCTGTATATTTTTGAAGTGTTTTATTATTTTGATTTAGTGCTAAAACTGCTGAATGCTTCTGAGCAAATTTTGCTGCAGAATAAATATTAAAAGGAGGAAAAAACTATAATGTTCAAAAAGTTGTATTGAATTGTAAAATATTTACAAGGAGTTTTCCAAAATGAGGAAATAAAATATACGAAAGACTAAGGGCTTTATGTTCTGAACATCTCTTAAATATGTGAAAACAGTAAACATTTTTTTTTGAATTGCTTGTGCTTATTATTAACTTCAGTTATCTCTCTAATATAATTATTTGTAAATTTTTAGGAAGAAAAGTCTATTCCAGCACATATTGCTTTTGTATCCGCTAGATCCCAATGGCTGCGTAGCAAAATTAGGCATTCTAGAGAAAAACAAAGAGAGAAGGTTTGAATTTCATAGCTTTTGTTATTTTTTATGCATTTTCATTATTAAGTATTTTGTTTAATTTTTTATTTATTTATCTTCACAGCTTCTGCAAAATAATTCTGAAAGAGAGAAAAATTATGTTCCTGTTTTGCAAGTCAAATTGAAGGATGCAGTACCTGAGGCTTTTGAACTTGTGCTAACCTACATCTATACTGATCGAATTGATCCTACTAAGAAAAGTAAAGCTCCTAAAAAAAAAAAAAAAAAAAAAAAAAAAAAGTTGATATTTATACTTTAAAATTTTTGTTTTGTATTAACAGAGTTATCGTGTATACTGACAAGGTAAGCTATCTGACCATTCGAGAACAATCGATTTGTAACTTTCAGAAATGGACAAGTATGCCAACAAAAAAGTAGGTTGTATAAAATACAGCAAGCTTTTGTGATATTTGCAGCCATAGTTTGGCAATTATATGACATAAATGTAATTTTGAGGTATGAGGCCTTCCAATATCAACAATACTCCATCATAAGATTGCATGTGTCATAATATCATGGGCCCATCATTTTCTTCTTAATACTCAAAATGGCATTTCAGTCATCCATTTTAAAATCATTTTAATGTTGGAATGAGCCATTTTGATAAATTTGTGAGCTGTTAAAAACCACAGCAATCTTGTGTTGGGGGGGGGGGTAAAACCTGTGAAAAATCAAAGCGTTCATTGTCATGATGCCAAGTTCTACCAAATGTTTTGCTAGCCACTGATCTGGTTGTTTACGCTGCAGAGTGATTAATGAGCTGATTGCCATGCCAAAGTGCCCGAGTTTAAATTACAGAGAAGGCATGGATGTTTGTAAATGTTATAGTGTCTGTGCAGTGAGGGGGCTTTCAAAATACCATAGTGAGCCTAAATCTTCTCAAGAGGTTAGTAGTGGGGGAAGAGGGGTAGGAAACCCTCATAACACTCCTTGGAATTCCTTCTGGGGTGGAAGCTTAGCTGTTAGCAAAACCTGGCAGTACCTAATATGCTTAACATAGATGCACAAGTACTGGCCTTGTTTCAGCCTGTTCCTGCTTATGCTGCAGAGCTTTACAGAGGTGGCAGAACACCTCTAAAATAGTACTTTACTGTAACATTTCATCCTTGTGATACCTACTCACAGTGCATCATCTCACAGAATTTAAGAAAAGTCAGTTGACTTTGCTGCACACCTTTTGTACTTTTCTCTTCAGAGATGGTGAATATTTTCATTCTGACAACTAAGCCTTGGTTTCAGAAATGTACCCATAACCCTATGATTTATTAGCATTTACCGCAGTGCTCAGAAAGTCAGGATTGCTAACATTGCGTGCCACCATATCTTGCATGATTTTTCTCTTGTATTGATTTCTTCATTAACAGTTTTGACTTGAATTTTGCAAACATCTGTTTTATCTTTTAAATGGAATTCCTTTTTCTCAAAATTGAATATACCCAACCAGTATCATTAGTTCTTGGAAGGTGATACAGTGTCCCAACTTCTCTACTAGTTCTTAGAATGTGACATACCAGTCCCAAAGCTTTTGCTTAATCAACCAACTTTCCATTTGTTTAGGGCTTAGCTTTTCATCCTCCAATGATATCCAGCCATTTTTCAGCCATGTATATGGCATTCTCATTGAAAGTTTGCTGAATTTTTCAGATGGTTTCCATTTATTTTATAACTGAACATCTAGTTAAATTTGATGCTATACCAGTTGTTCTAGTAATTCCATCATTTATCACTAAAACATAATATGATAATTATTCATTACATTATTTTATTCACAAACTAACTATGAATGGTTTGCCATTTCTGCTAGTGAGAGAAAAGCTCAAGCATGTGCTTTTACATGCCTAGCAGGATCTACCTCCCATGCATAACTAGTTTAGTTTAAAAAAATTGTATTTTTTAAAATGTTATAATTTTTTTTTTTTAAATATATATATATATATTCAGTTTTAAAAATGCTGAAATCATGTATGTAATGGTAAACTTACCTTTAAAAAATATTCAATGTGATAGGTAATGAGTATATACATAGATTTCTTTACATTTGAATGTTCAAATCGATCAACTGAATTTTTTAAATATGTAGAAATTTTATAAAAGTATTTCTAATCATAAAAAATATTTTTGTAGCTATTTTTAAATTTTGGTTATAAATTTTTTATTTTGGTTATTGATAGGTGCTGATCCAATGAGTACTAAGGTTGTTTTACTTATGATGGATGTATACAGACTTGCTGTGCAAGTAAGTAATTGGAAGTATTTCAGATAAGTAGATGGTTGAGATTGAAATATTGAGATTGAAAATGTGCAATAACAAATATTAGAATAAACAACAAAAGAAGAGAGAATCACATATATCAGGGAGGTCAATTTCAGGAGAGTAGGAACTGTATGTTAGGATTCAGGAAATTTTGAAAGCCACAGCTAAAATTTCCCAGAGCCATAATTTCGTATGTACATCATTTTAAAAGTACAAAATAGATTTTCATTAAAAGAAGCATTTGTGCTATATTAACAAGAGTTTCATATTTTTTATGCAAGTAATTGCTTACATACTATAAATTTAAATAAGAACTAATTTCGCCTGCTCTATATTCTGGAAAGTATGCTTCTTGAATGTACAGATGTGAAAATATTGTTTGATGAAAGAAACCACTAATTGTCCAGATCAGAAGCTAACGCCTTCCCCGAGTTTGTTAATAGTTAACTGATTTTAGAGAAATAAACTGAAATCAAAGGAAGGTATCATAATGTTCTGTGTGAGCAGAATAGTATAAAAAGCTTTTCATCTGAGGGAAGAATAAAACAATAACTTAAAAAATAAATAATAAAGCTCTAATTTAAGTGCAGATTTAATTTTTAAAGGACAACACAGGGCGTAAAGGAACAGCCTAAAGGGCAGGGAAACTTTCTCTTATGTATGCTATTCAAGAGAGGAAAATTGTTTTAACTCTTTGATGTGCACTATATTATTTTTTAAATTTTTTTAACTAAAAACTCTAGAAGTTGAATATTATGATCCTAGAGACAAGTAATACAGTCAAAAGTCTTTAATATGGACTTGTCGGGACTTCGGGGATTCCGGATTATTGGTTTTTCCGGATTATAGATCATCAGTTTAAATCTGAAAAGATGGCATGCAGAAATTATAAAATTAAAAATATGAAACCGCAATTTATGAAATAAAGAGGAATTATGATCTAAAGGGTATCAAAATTTACAAAATAAAAGATTAATATTTATTTGTTTACTTTATTAAACATTTCTTTCAACCTGTGCATGCATAAAGCATACATTACCCATAGTCGAAATTAGAATATTGAAACCAGAAAACTATTTTATATGTGTTAGTGATATTTATAATGACGAGGAATTTGATTTAAATCATATCAAAGACAGAGTACATCGAGATGAAATACTACATTTAGTAAGGAATTATAAGCCGAATAAAATAAAAACATCTGCCCTGAAGGTAAGGATAGTGCTGACAGATCAACTTCCAGTTCATTGCGCGCCGTATCCCCTCCACCACCGCAGAGCAGCATGAAATTGATAAACATATTTCGGAATGCTTAGAGAATCAAAAGATATGCTTTTATCCATTTTTTGCAGCAATTATACTTTTTGTTTGATGGACATTGAAACATGCTTTCGCTTTGTAGATCCTTTGGTAGCTCCAGAATCGGAAATTCTTTTTGACATTTTCGAAAGTTCAAGCTTACTTTTATAAAATTGCTCTAACAGTCTGCAAAAAATAATAAGCTGGATTCAATTAGAAGATTAAGGAACAACGCAATCTGCAACATTAACTGAAATAGATAATTTTAGCTTAGCTTATACCGTCCGTTATACATTAAACGCACATGCCTAAACATATTATGCGCATGCAGAGACACATATGTGCATGTGTTAATGCATTATGCGTTGTCGCATGCACAGAAAGTTTGTAGCTTTGAGGTCCGGATTATAGATCATTCCGGATTATGGACGTTCGGATTAAAGACTTTTGACTGTTTATGAATTAAAAAAATTCTACTCTTGCCAATTGTTCTGTAGGTGGTGGTCGCACTGTGGAACCAACACTCGTCTAGGACTTTGAAACTTACTGAAATAGTAGGGGGGGAAAAAAACTTACCCTTTTCCGTGCATGTTTCCAATAAATGATGAAATTTACGGATTTTAAAAGAATGTATATAAGAATTGCATTATATGTAAATTTTTACATTATTTTACAAAGTAAATCATCAGAAAAATTTAAAAAAATAAACATTTATGTAATTTTTCTATAGCAATGAAAATATAAGTACCTACATAACAAGGACGTTCGGATAAATGGATAAAAAACTCAGTAAAGTAAGGATTAAAAAAAAAATTAGCGTTTTTTTATCCTTACTTTACTGATAAAAAAAAAAAAAAAAAACCACCCTCTCTCTCTCTCTCTCTCTCTCTTTTTTTTTTTTAAATTTCAAAGAACACATTTTTTTGTGACACTGTTCAAAGCATGTTTTGTATTTTTGGACCATGCGTGGACCCACAGTGCACATTTCGTATATGTATCTTGTTCTTTGAGGTTTCTTCCTTGTGCTACAATATGTACACTGCCTTGATCTTATAAATTTCACTGGTATATGTCCAGCGTTATTTAGTTTTTTTTTTCATCTGGCACATTAAAATTTGTGGTTTTTTAATTGGAGAGAGGGGCTTGATCTTTTTGTCTTTAGTACGGATCATTCGTTTCCCATTCATATTTATTTTATTCATATTTTGTCCCAAAATATTTAAAAAATATTTTTAATTTAAATAAAACTTTTACGCGTTTTCTATTTTAAATTATAGCAAAGTATATTTACATTAAATTTAAACCACATCAAATAATTTATAAAATCACAATACTAGCTTGGGAAGCAAGTTTGTTGAGGTGAGAGAAAAATCTCTGGAAAAGAAAGACCTTTTCACTGGGCAGGTGCATGTATTGTTTAGTAATAAAATAACTCTGTGGTGTCAAAGCCTCTTATCTATATCCGGCTAAAAATAAGCATTCCTATTTGAAAAAAAAGCAAACGCCATTGTGAAAAGCAGTGGTTTCAAGGTGTGACCACCAAGCCTCTAGAGGATTGTGAGCATTGTGAGACAATGCTGTAGTGGCGCAGTGGTCGCACCTTGAAACCACAAAGCAAATGCCATAAATATAGATAGGTTTTTTTATATATGCAGTTTAATTATTGCAATTTTTTGTTGTTCACAATAGAAATCATGATGTGCGATGAATAACTTTTGAAATTTAAAGTTGTTTATAATAATAAAAGGAACCTATTTTGTCTCATTGAAAACGAATTTTAAAAGGCAGCTGATTTGAAGTACTAAGACTTAAAACATGTATGATTCTGAAGTCATTTTGTGTTATTTAGAGGTAAATGATCAGTAATCAATTGGTTTTTCACTCAAAAATTTCGGAAAGAAGAGGAGGAAAAAATTCGAAATCTGTGGTTTCAGGGCGCAACCACCATGCGTCAAAATGCTAAAATAAGCTGTTATTTTTTTCTGGATTAGGCATTAAAATAATTTAGTTTTCCCCATGTAATTAACATGAGGACGTCAACATATAGAGATCGAATTTAGCTCTAAATAATTGATTTAATTCTTTAGATGTGAACTGAATTTTCAGTTGCATTTTGTTTCTCTTAAGAATGGGACATTTGGATGCTCAGATCTTGTGAATTTTCAAAAATATCTAAATTTTATAAACTCTAGTCTTGGCACTTTTTTTTAATCATTCAAAGCTTTTGAATCCTATGTTTTAACTCAAATTTCTGGAAAGATAAATTTTATAATATTTAGTAAGAGCCTTCTTAAATGAATTAAAATAAAATAAAAAAAAAAAAAAAAAGCTAAAATAAATTAAGAAACATCTGAAAGGTTTCAGATTTTAAATTACGTCCAAAGGGGCTTTTTTTTTTTAACATTTTGTGTGTTACCTTTGTTTATTAAATATCATGTTCTTTTCACTTAAACCAAATTCAGTTTAAGAGCAGTATCACAAAATAATTTTAAGATGAGCATATTTAGAATTTCTGATACACAGTCTCGCATGCTGGAGATAAAATTTTTTTTTTCTTCTGTGCAATGTTGCCATTGCTTGCTTTGAAATCCTTGAGTTTGTTAATCAAAAATTCGTTAAAGTTTTATAAAATATGAAATTGATAATAAAACAAATTCCAAATTTCAAATTTGGGTTTCCAAATCCTCCCATATTCACAGGAGGATTATGTTATTCACAATTTGATGGCTGTAGGTACCATTGTTTTATCATAATGTGAGAAACAGCCATACGTTTATGCAGATTCTTCGTTATTTTATTTCTTTAAATATAATATAAGGTGATAATATTTGGTGGCAACAATTTGAAAAGTGAAACAACGCTTGTAGTGAATCAATGCAAAATGCCAAAACAAAATTAATAGTCCTTCTGGGCAAATTACCTCTTTAGACTAAAGAATGCAGACGTTGTTATTCCAGTTAAAAGAAGTGATTTACTACATTTACAATACCTGCTCTAAATAATAATAATAAAAAATATTATAGTAATTTTTAGCAACTAAATTTGCTCTTTGTTTGTTGTTACCCTCAGAATTACTACATGATGGGTGGTTTGAAATCCTTTAAGCCATTGATTGGACACATAATGTAATATAAGAAATTAAATTACTAATTGATAAAACTAATTGATAAAAAAGAATGTCATTGCAGGGCTTGTGTTTCAAAATGCAACTCTATTTAAAAAACTGTGTGTTACAAGTGGGTCGTATTTAAGAGACCAACGAGCCTCATGTGGCTAGTGAACCATAGTTGAGAACCTGAAAGCTGCAGTTTGGCCATGCCTGGTGTATACAATTAATACTGATTTTAATGACCATTTCATTACAAGAACTAGTATAAAAAGTCTCCATGTGGTCAAAATATCAGTGGATTAAGTGATTGCTTGTTTGGACGATTTAACCAGGCAAGTCAATGCTTTGTGGCAGATGCGGTGGTAAAGGCCACATAGGAAGGAGCAGCAGAACTCCCCAAGACACTGAAGCCACAATCGCTCCCAGCAAGGGAGGAGCGAAGCTAATCAGTAACCATCTCGCCAGGCAGTGGTTGTGAGATATTGGAAAGCCCCATTATAAAGCACTTCAGATTTCTTCATTGAGTTGCAGCAGTAATGGGCTCTTCATCATCGTACATATAAATGGAGTTCTTGCGATATGACCAGCAATACTGGAGCCACTGTTACCATCATCCCAAACGATCTGGCTCAACAACTATAAGGGAAATGCATCTGGATGGTGTTCTGTGTTACCCTCTATGCTGTGCCTAGTGATAAAATCGAGTAGTTTACGGAGTTCTTTTATTACAGCTGAGATGAAATTCCTCTTTTGATCAGAATAATTTGAGGGGCACTGGAACTCAGAGCTGTAATCAGTTTGGAAATTCAGTGCTGTATCATTACCTCTGCTACTGCGACATCCTTTTGATTATAGATAGGATATGTTTCAGGTCACTTTGTAAAGTAATCAGTGACAATAAGGATGTATTTGTTGCTATCAGAAGTGGTGGCAAGATTCCCAGGATATCAAAATATATATATATTCCCAGGATATTTATGCATTCAAAAGGTGCTCTTTCATTATAATGTTGCAGCATCCATTGGCTGCATTTCTTCAGCCTTTCCTTTTTCTGTCTTTTGCATGTCAGTCTTTGCTTTACTCCAGTAAAAGTGCTCTCAAATTTTATGCAAAGTCTTTGATTATTTTATTATTATGACTTATGTAGTTCTTTAAGGATGTCTGGGATTTTGGAAGTATCACTTGCTATCAGAATGCCTTTCCATCATCTGATCTGAACTTCTGGTACAAGATGGCATTTCGTATGTGGAATGAGTCCAGAGAGTCGAGTATTGTTTTGTTGTAGAATTTTAGATCAAAATTTCATCCCAAATAGGTATCCTATTTGATGACTGCATTAAGATAGTTATGGGTTTAATCATGCTGTTTTCCAACTGGTCTTTCTTGACTTCTTCATTACTCTATAGGTCTGGGTCAGACTATGTTGAATTTTCAACTTCATGCATGGCCAGATTAACCAGCTCGGATTTTGCTTTGATCTTGGAACAACATTGCCAGCTTCCTTAGCAGGATCTTCTAAACAGGGCATTGGCGTTTCCGATTACATATGGTGATGTCATATTCCTAGAGTCTCTGCATCCATCTGGCTAATTGGCTTTCAGGATACTTGAAGTTTAAGAGTCGAGTCAACATTGCATAATCTATGTAGAGTAGGTGTTTTCTGCTGTAGAGGTAATGTTAGAAATGTAAAAATATGAAAATAATTTTATGTAATTCTGCAACATGTCTGCATTAGATATTATCATACAAGAGAATTAAATATTGCTTTTTTTCTTCCTTAATGTAGAATCAGCTATATAACTAACCATTTTTTTATTCATTTCCAGAAAAAACTTATTGAAAGCTTAACTTTTTATTAAGATATTTTTACGTGGTTAATTGTTAAGCATTATACTTAACAAATTATTCAAAATTGAATTATGTTAATATTTATCATGTAATAGTTTTCTGTATTGTTGCGTGCGTACGGGTTCGTTACGAAATGAATGCACAAGTCCGATGAAAAATGAAGAAGATTTATTATTATCACATCAAATATGATTAAATGTCCTCAAAAATGCAGTATCCAATATCAGTAGTTATCTTTAATACTCAAATGTTCAATAGAATTAATTCAAAACAGCTAAGAAAGCTAATCCATGAGTTGCTACAGTCAACAAGAGCAATTTCTAACACAACAACAAACTAAGTAACTTACAAACTGAGATGTTTTTCCTTTTATAAGATTTTTAAATCACGTGCGAGATTTTGGTACTTTCTTGAAATAAAAGACATTTATTGATTTAATGTTAAATGCCATGCTCGTATTTTAATTTACGGCTTAGCTTTATTCTTTTAATTTCATCACGCGCTGCACCGCGGGAAATAACCATTTAATTTATAATTGAACTAACATTAGCTTTTTAAATACCAAATTCGTAACAGTATTGTAAATTGACAGGTTTAATAACTTTATTATTTTTAAAAATTAACTTTTAAATCAGTGAAGTATATTTTATATAATTGTGGTTTTTGTATGCAGTTATCCTTTTGTTCTTGTAATTTTTAAGTAATCTTCACTATAGGTTGCACATTGCATTTTTATGAGCAATGCTTTACTTTTATACATACATAGCACAATATGCCTTTCATCTAGAATATTTAACTTCCTTGCTAATTAAATTCTTCATCTCCAATCTGGTTTAAAAAAATAATATTTATTTAATATTTCATTTATAGTTTCATATGCGACGACTTGAACAACTTTGTGTGCAATATCTAGAAGCGGCTATTAATCATAGGAACGTTTTAGTTGCATTACAGAATGCTTCAGATTTAAAACTTGATTTCATAAAGGTATGTAATAGCATTTAAAATGTATTCCCTCTCTCATTTTTTAAGTATTTTCCTCTTGTATCACTTTTTTGATAATTAACTATTTCTGAATTATGTCTTTTTCATAGGAATTCTGCTTGAAGTTCATTGTTAAAGAAAATAACTATAACAAGATTGTTATGAGTAAAGAGTTTGAAACTATAGCACAGCCATTAATGGTCGAAATTATCAGGCGGCGACAAATGCCAGCTGTACGATCTCTGCTGGAACCACATTTTGATTCTGCTGGTATTTTCAGCTTTTATTTTATTCCACAGTATATGCATCATCATAATACAGTTTTTAATTGGATAAAAATATAACAAGTTATTACCGCTGGCACTGGATAATGAAAATCATGAAATATTGTTCTTAAACCTATTAGAAATAAGAATTTTATTATTTGCCCTTTTTTATTTGCAGTTAGCATAAATGTTTTTATTTGTATACATAGACTGTATTTTAAAGGAATATTAATGATTGTTAATTAGCACTGTAATGTATATTTTATTATGTATAAAAATATAAAACAGGAATGTAATAATAGTTTATTTCAAAAATTATATTCTTTGAGTTGACAAAATTGTTGTCATTTGCATTTAGTTGTAAAGCTTTTTGGCAGTTAATATGTTCTTTGTTTTCTCCCCCCCCCACACACATTAAATTCTGACTATCTTGCATACCTTATTATCTTTCTGCTGTTCATATGTGTACTAGGTGTACTCATATTAACAGATAATTAGAATAATCACATAATTAAAACTGTAATAGAACTTCTATATAATATGATTATTATACAGTCAAAAGTCATTAATTCGGACACCCATAATCCGGAATGATCTATAATCCGGACCTTAAAGCTACAAACTTTATGCGCATACGCCATGTTGACATATGCATACGTGTTTACGCATGCGCGTAAGACCTTTACGGCTGCGAATATGCATGTGCGCATTCGCATAATACGTTTAGGAATGCGCGATTAATGTATAATGGATGGCTAAGCTAAGCTAAAATTATCTAATTCAGTTAAGGTTGCAGATTGTGTTGTTCCTTATTCTTCGAATTGGATCCGGCTTATTTTGCAGACTGTTAGAGCAATTTTATAAAAGTAAGCTTGAACCTTCGATTAAGTCAAATAGAATTTCCAATATATATTTACTAATATGTAAAGGATCTACAAAGCAAAAGTATGTTTCGAAGTCCATTAAACAGAAAGTGGAATTGCTGGGCATCATCGTATCTTCAGGGCAGATGTTTTCAACGACGCAGCACGCAATGAATTGGAAATTGATCTGTCAGCACTATCCTTATCTCAGGCGAGTTTTTATTTTATTTTGGCTTATAATTCCTACTAAATGTTAGTTTTCATCTCGATTACTCCGTCTTGATATGATTTAAATCAAGTCCTCGTCATTATAATTCGCTTCCGATAGTGAAGAAAGTGACACAAAGGCTATTGGAAGCGAAAAAATTTCGATTGACAAATTAGTCGGTATTCTCGACACATTTTATTTGAAATGGAGAATGAGTATGCTGATCTTCTGCTTCATAACAAGGTACGTTGGTTATCAAGAGGAAACATTTTAAAACATTTCGCGTCCCTTTTTCCGGAAATTAAAGCATTTCTCCTTAAAAAGGGTGTTCACTATCCAGAACTAACGTATGATCAGTGGATCCAAAACTTTTATTTCATGGTAGACGTTACGTCTCATCTAAATCAGCTTAAACGTAAACTACAAGGGAAAGGAAACTTAATTTTTCGATGTTAGAAGAACTAAAAATTTGAAAACAAATTATCCATTTTGGCCACAGGATTTTAAAAGGGAAACATTGTTTCACTTTCCGAGCCTGCTGAAGCATCGCCAAGAATAATTGCTCTATTGATAAACATTTTAAAATAATAATTTTAAATATGAGGAAAGCATTCTCGCAGGTTTCAGGAATTAAAAACAGCAGAGCACTTTAGAATTGTCAAAAAATCCTTTTAATGCCGAGAACCGAGTTGAATTTCTCCTTTTGAAATTGACATAGCTTTGAAATACAAGCTTGGATTTGAAAAAACAAAGAGATATGGCACTGTAAATTCGAACGTTTGTGTTGAATTGGAAATATTGGAGAAGAAAAAATGATCATAGTTCACAACACAAGTGGTCTGCTTTGAATGACCTGGAGAAGGAAGACATGATCATTTTTAACGCTTGAATAGTATTCCTGACTCTTACGATCAGCTGAAAAAGCTCGCGTTTGCTGTTCTTTTCCTTTTCGGTTCTACATATATATGTGAACAATCTTTTTCAAGCATGAACATTATCAAGAGTAAACTGAGAACTTATTGATGAGAACTTGGAATCATGCCTAAAATTAAAAACGACAACATACAAATCTGACTTATTCAAACTTTCCAAAGAGATGCAAGCACATTGTTTGCATTAATATAATATTTATTAAGTATTAAATTTAGTTTTATTTAGTGTAATAAAAGTTTACTAAACAAGCAGATTTGGCTCTCATTTTTTAAAAAATTGTTTTAATGTTCATATTTGGTTCTTTGGCTAATAAGTTTGCCGACCACTGGCCTAGGGAACAGCACTGTTAGTTATATTGTGATGTGACATATTTTGTTGACAGATACCTTTGAGAATATCATCATCATGTAAAGCTGTCTGTGACAGAATTTGTATTCTATGTGTACAAAACAGTGTGTGGATATTTGCTTATTGAAGTTTTTTCTTTAATACACTTCTGTCATACACAGTGTACAGCAAAATATAAGTCATTGCAGAAGGGATTCTTTGCACATTGGCTGGAGTCTCAGTGTTATACAAATTGAAGCCATTCGAGTACTTAATTTTTAGCATGTATACTGTAACTGTCTATTTCAAAGCCCAGTGCAGAATAGAGTTCTTTGCATCATCTTGTTGGTGACCATTATTAAATTTTCTTATTCATGTTAGAAGGCTAATTTATTTAATGCAACATGTGCATCAGTTCTGAACTTCTGACTGTGAGCCAGTGTTCCTCCTAAAATCAGTGGCATCTGAGTTCCATATGCAAGCATACATGTACTCAGGTGCCAAAAATTGGCATATCAATATAATACTCTGTAAATGGAACCAGAGAATTGCCAAAATGTGGCACAGCAGAATTTCACTGATATATGAAATTATTTTGTAACAATGAATACCATACTCCCTGTACAGCAGCACATAATTTTGTCGTATTTTAAGGTACAGGATATGTGTGTTCTACAGTACAAAGTCCGTAATCTGGACGTCCATTATCCGGAATGATCTATAATCTGGACCTCAAAGCCACAAATGTTTTTTGTACGCTTTACGCATGCGCGTTTAGCACATAAACGAAGCACCTTAAACAACTTACATTGAAAGAAATGTTTAATAAAGTAAACAAAATAATATTAAGCTTTTTTTGTAAATTTGATACCCTTTAGATCATAATTGCTCTTTATTTCATAAATTATGGTTTCATATTTTTAATTTCTGCATGCCATCTTACCAGATTTAAATTGATGATCTATAATCCGGAAAAAACCCTAATCCGGAATCGCCGAAGTCTTGACGAGTTCGGATTACGGACTTTGTACTGTATAATGCACTGTATGACATTCTTGATGGGCTCAATGACATTGAAATAGCGTTACTTTTAACAGATTTAAATTCAGATGAGTACCTATCTAAGATTTGTATGGCTGTGCATCTTTAGAATAGGATGTACCTATCAAAATGAATAAAAAGCATAAATAAGTGTAGCTCATTAGAAAGGATGGGCATATATCAGTATTGCTCGCTTAACTTTAGTAGATATACCAGTAATCTCACTGAATGCCTGATGAATAAAACCCACATCATTATGATTCTATTACAGTCACTACATTCTTCTGCTGTTGTGCGTGACCTATGCCTTCATGTGCTTTTCTAACTTTTCTGTGCATATAGATCCTTCTACCTCTTGAAATAATTGAAAATATGACTGATTACAACAGGTTACTTGCTTTCAGCTGCTGAGTGACTAGAGATAGAATTTTCAAGTCTAGGTGAGCTGCATAGCACTATGGTTATATTTTCATCAGGGGTATACAAATTGGATATTAGCTCTTGATATCATGAAGTGAATATTCCATAGTCATCGCATTTATATTTACTGAGATTGTAGCTTTAAATTCTTACATTATTTGATAGTGTCTTGCCAAAATTCTTGCTTTTATAATGTGCTGTTGAAATGGTCATATTAAAATCCAAAATTTGTCTTTACTTCTGTAGTGCTATGACCCATCTCATATTAGCCTCTTAATATTTGATTGAATTAAAAATTGCTTAAAACTTTCCATTCTTGGCTTAGAAACAAAGATACTTCTACAAATACTTGTCACAGATCCAACTTTTTGTAATATTAGCTAGTCTGAAATGGCTTACTTGTAGAAGTAACCTAAATATAATATTTTATTAAAATTTCAATTCATTCATTTTTTCCATCTGTCATTTATTTTTGTATTAAATATTTGTATTGTTCTTTGCAGGAACAACATTAGAGCAAGATATGGAGCAATATTTAATGTCTACTGGAAAAGAATTCTGTGATATCATCCTAATGCTTGATAATCATCCAATTCCAGCTCACAAAGCTATTTTAGCTGGTCGTTGTAGTTACTTTGAAGCAATGTTTCGTTCCTTCATGCCAGATAATAATATGGTCACTGTAAGTGTTATCAGATAGAAATAGATAATATATATTTTATGATTAGAAATATATCTGATCATCCCAGGTTATTATTATTTTAACATAAATCAGTATGAAGCAGAATTTTTCTATTATATTTTTTGTACTTTTCCACTGATTACATGTGAATATTTACTTTGTTTTAGATTAGATTATGCTTAATTTTAGCTTATGCTTAATTGTAGCTATTTTGTTAAAAATTTATTATGCTTATCTATAAAATATATATATTATCTTGAATGGAATTTTCAGTTGCAATGTCATTTTAATGTGACCATGGCCAAAAAGTAAAAGTCAAAAATTGTTTTTATCATTATGATGTAAATAGCAGAATTGCTTTGTTTAAATGTAACAAAAATGATCAAATATCAAAATCAAAAATGTATTGAATTTTAAAATTGTATGAAGAGCATAGACATAGTTATATCAATCAAAATTTTTGCAAAAAGGATCTGGAAAAGGAGCTAATATGTCATGAAACTGTTGAGAGAAAGTTTAAGAAACTGCACATTTTTGTTGTTGTCTGAAAACTGAGGATATCAAAATAAACTGTTTGTCAAATTAAGGAAGACATAAGCTTAAAATTTTATACAGAAAAGAGTTCCAAAATACAAAGGTGTTCTGGTGCCTTTTAAAGAGGACACCAAAACACCAAATTAAATTTTCGTAAAATCCTAACCTAATTAAAACATAGCATTGCACTGTGTTTAAAATGACCGAGAATACCCTCGTGTTGATGACGGGTGAGACTCGTGATTTATGATTAAATAAAAACATACAATTGGTTAAATTCAATAAAGCATGACATTTATTTACCTAGAGGATTCTAAATCATCAAAATAATTTTATTAAAAAAATATATATATTTCAACCCGGGTAAAATCAAAGCAACAACAACAACAACAAAAAAAAAAAAAGGATACATATAATAAAATTGCACTGAGGATAGCATATAGTTTTAATATTTCACTGCAATCTTTCTATTTCACTTTCTTACTCCAAAACTTGAATTATCTTAATAAAGGTTATTTGATAACTTATAGAACAAATTCTTTTTCAACATATTGCACATAAAAATCAATTACATAAAAAAAAAATTCCTTGGAGGAATCCACACTTAACTGAATTAATATAAGAAGGAATGACTTAATGTACCAGTTTAGCACTAATTTGATTCTTCAGTAAATATTACTTAATCTAGATTTTAATTCTACTACATGGACAACCTAAATTTTTCTTTAAACATCTTATTATTTAACATGGAAAGAACTCCATAGGTACTGGATTGAACAGCAGTTATCTTAAACTGATCAAAAATAACTAGGCTAAATCCTAAATTTCTCTTAACTTAGTAAAGAATAAATTTTACATTTTTGTATGGTAGGAAAGCTTTATTATTAACCCTGAATAAATTTTAATTTATTCAGGGTTAAACAAAAATAAAATTTTCACTTATCTTGCATCTTCAGAAGGTCAAAAAATTTTCATCGAAAACCGACTGAGACTGATGGTGAGAAACAAAGTTGCAGCCCTCCAAGATCCAAGTAGGAAAACGTGGAGAACAACAATCAGACGGTGTTGATTAAACGATGGATATTAATCAGATGGAGTTGATTTTCTCATAAAGAACCTCCACAGCTGGAACTGATGATAAAAGGAATGAACAATCCTGCAGTCTCCATGATTAGATCGAATGAAGAACATGGCCTTATTTAGGACAGCAGTCAGATGAAGAAAACATACATCTTCTATTTTTGATGATAAAGGTGACAAATGACTAAATTCATCTTTGAATGTGAAGTCGCTACTTTTTGAGCATAATGGAAGGAGTAAAAGGAAGATTCTGCCACAACAGAATGCCTCAGGGCATAACGGCCCCTACAAATTTGTCGCTAACATTTTCAGCTTCTCAAATGGGAGCTAAATCGTATCGTACAACAGCAAATCTGAAGCCGAGAGAGAAGAGGCAAAATCATGGCTTGCAGCTCCCTATAGACGTGGCAAGACTGCCACATTGGCTAACGCATGCCCGAAATTGTGAAAAAAAAAACAGTTATTACCTTATGTTATGTAAAATTTCTCCTTTTTCCACGGCATTGAACTAAACTCAAATTTAAACATCGCCAAATTCACACCAAGCCTGGGAGCAGCTGCAAGGTTGAGCTGGCAAACATAAATTCTCCCCGCCAGAATCGTGGGCAAGGAACTAGAAATCTTGTTAAAAACCATGCTTTCTATCGCTTTTCACAAATTCATCCCCCCACTACTTTTCACACAATGAGAACTGCAATATCTGTTAACCCTTTGATGTGCGCGATATTATTTCTATAATTTTTTTAACTAAAAACTCTAGAAATTGAATATTATGATCCTAGAGACAAATAATATATGAATTTAAAAAAATCTACTCTTGCCCATTGTTCTGTGGGTAGTGATCGCACTGTGAAACCACCACGCGTCTAGGACTTTGAAACTTGCCGAGGTAATAGGGAAAAAAACTTACCTTTCTCGGTACGCGTTTCCAATAAATGACGAAATTTAAGAATTTTTAAAAAATGTATGTAGGATTTGCATAATATATAATTTTTTTTACATTATTTTACAAAGTAAATCGTCAAGAAAAATTAAAAAATAAACATTTATGTAATTTTTCTATAGCAGTGAAAATATAAGCACTATATAATAAGGACGTTTGGCTAAATGGATTTAAAAACTCAGCAAAATAAGGATAAATAAGACTCAATGTTTTTTTTTTTAAATTTCAAAGAACAGATATTTTTTGTGACACTGTTCAAAGCATGTTTTGTCTTTTTGGTACATGCATAAACCCACATTGCACGTTTCGCACATGTATTTTCTATGAGGTTTCTTCCTTGTGCAACAAAATGTACACTTGCCTGCATCTAAATTTCACTGGTATATGTCCAGCGTTATTTAGTTTCTTTTCATCTGGCACATGAAATTTGTGGTTTTTTTATGTTAATGGGGGAGGGCTTGTTCTTTTTGTCTTTGGTACGGATCATTCGTTTTCCATTCATACTTATTTTATTCGTATTGCGTCCCAAAATATTCAGAAAATATTTTTAATTTAAATAAAACTTTACGTGATTTCTATTTTTAATTATAGCAATCTATATTTACATTAAATTTAAACCACATGAAATTATTTATAAAATCACAATACTATAGCTTGGGGAGCAAGTGAGTTGAGGTCAGAGAAAAGTCTCTGGAAAAGAAAGACCTTTTTGCTGGGCAGGTGCCTGTATTGTTTAGTAATAAAATAACTCTGTGGTTTCAAAACCCCTTGTCTATATCCGGGTAAAAATAAACATTCCAATTTGAGAAGCAAACAAACGCCATTGTTAAGAGCAGTGGTTTCAAGGTGCGACCACTGAGCCTTTAGAGCATTGTGACACTGAGCCTCTAGAGCATTGTGTCACAATGTGGTGCAGTGGTCGCGCCCTGAAACCACAAAGCAAATGCCATACATATAGAGGTTTTTTTTTTATATATTCAGTTTAATTATTGTTATTTTTTAATGTTTATGATAGAATTCATGATGTGCAATGAATAACTTTTGAAATTTAAAGTTGTTTATATTAATAACAGGAAGTTATTTTGTCTCATTGAAAACTAATTTTAAAAGGCATCCGATTTGAAGTACTAAGACTTAAAACATGTATGATTCTACAGCCATTTTGTGTTATTTAGAAGTAAAAGATCAATAATCAATTGATTTTCACTCAAAAATTTGGGAAGGAAGAGGAGAAAAAATTCGAAAATTGGTGGTTTCAGGGCGCGACCACCGCACATCAAAGGGTTAAATAAATTACTATATCTCAAAATCTGTTAAAGCTAGAATCTTACAAGTGATCTTAAATTAAGGAGCTAATTTTTTTTGCTTCTATTCTTGTAAATTAATAATGGTTTAACTTAAGTACTATAAAATCAAGTTTATTACTTAGAAATTCACCCGATTTCATTATGTGTTTCAGTGCATTTACAAGTAATGAGTGAAAAGAATGTATCAAATCTTTCGTACAAAAATCCCAGTTAAAATTAAACAAATTAAAGCAATTATTAAATAAAATTCACATGTAGCATAAATTTAGAATATTAATAAATTAAATTTTAATAAGTTGTAATTTAAATAATTAAGTGAATTTGCTACACAACAAAGGTCAAGAAATTCCAACACACATACTCACACAAAAGAAAAAAGAAGACTTAAAATTTATAAGAAATTGATTGTGTTTGGATATGGGTATGTGGAAACTTACAATAAATGAAGAATATTTTTATTCTAATCTTAGAGATGCAACTAAGTATTACCATTCAACATTCTGTACTCTGTCACTGTGTACTTTAGATTAAAGCTTAAAATAAAATTATCAGGAAAAGTAATGGTATGACTTGCCCGGGCTGATCGTGTTGACTGAAGCGGCATGTGCAACATGAAAAAAGGTGCCTGCACATTTTTTCAAATTATCCATCATTTGCCAAGGTGCAAGGATGCCATCACATAAAGGCACAAATTTGCTGGCACTGCTGTGAAGTTCTGTATCACGAGGAAAACCAAGGTTGCTAGGACAGCCATCTAAAGGTCTCAATTTTAGTGAACAGTCACCAATTTGCATAAAGTTGCCAGCACTTTTTTCAAGTTGACCATCACTCATCAAGACAAAAAGCTGCACTAACATTGCAACCCTCATTAAGACTGCCAGGACACTTGTGTGCAGGTCTTAATCTCGCAAATAGTTACCTACTTGCATAAAGGTAATAGTTACCCCCTTGCTAAAGGTACTTGCATCTGTATCACATTTTATGAAACCATCCAGGTGGGAGAACATGAAAAATACTTTGCTGTTATGCAAGTAAAGAATTAGATCGAGCAACTGTGAGTTTTTGTTGAAGATGGGGTGAAGACATGAGTTATCATTAGTTTATCTTTCAATTTATTTAGAGTGTCATTAAATATT